TCTCTGGGAAATGCTCCATTTCTTTCATATGCATCTRTTACATTTACATTCTAGATTTCTTCTTCTCTAAAAAGGAAAGGTGGGGGAGGGGTTATTCACAGTTAAATTCAGAAGTCTCTCTAATGATGTTGAATTTCTCTGAMAGAACTGTTTAAATAATCAAAGAAAGGAATTCTGCCAAGTTAACTTTACTRGTGACTGAGCTTATTTTATTAAATYAGTATTTTGCATGAATCTCATTTGGGTCGGTGGTTTCTTTCCTCTACTCTCRCTTCTTCCCTTAAGGTGTTTCAATAAGGGAGTCTGCTCTCAGGACAAGAGGTCCTTGGCAGATATAAGCAATGGAAACAAAACAAGCACAGGAATCTGAGTGTTGAAATTTCCATTGATTCCATATAGTAGCTGGGAACACACCCTGGGATGGGATCCCTCCCGTGTGAAAGGGTGAAGGTGTGCATCTGTGGAGATGGGGAAGAGACATTTATCTTYTAGTCTAACTCCCACATCAGTTCACCACAGAAATCCCTAAAAGTCCATGCGTGCAACCTTACCTTTCCAAAACTCACAGTAAAGTGTTGAACAAAATTCCTTCAAACTTCCTGGGGAAACCCTTGCCTTCCAGAGGCTTTTTGATATTTCCTGCTCCTTGATGAATGAAAGAACTTAAATTTAAAGACAGGTGCAGACTGCCTCTCTTGTGCTTAGAATCTCTTTCACTGGTGTAAATAGTCAAAAAACTGCAGCAAACCTTCCTCATGTCCTAAAGTTCGGAAACTTTGGTAAAGAGATAAGTAAACTCATATGGTTTAAGTAGTTGGGTTTTTTTTTTTAAAAAAAAAAAAAGTATTTAAATGAGCTGTGTTTATTTCTGTCACCTGACTTTCTAAACAGAGCAGCAGATATTAAGAATGATATTTATTTCTRTTATGGGACTGATAGCAGATATCCCTTTTTTTTGATTAAGAGATTGCATATTGAAATGTTGAGGTGCAGAACTTTCATGGGATCATAGAATGTGCTATGCCACAGGCATCATACCACAGGTATCATCAAKTCCAACTCCTGGTCCTGCATAGGACGAACCCCAAGAGTCACACCATGACTAAGAGCATTGTCCAAATGTTTCTTGAGCTCTGTCAGGCTTGGTGCTGTGACCACTTCTCTGGGGACATTCATGCAGGGTTATCCTATCCCATGTGCAGAATCCCTTGGCACTTGCCCTTATTTAACTTGATATGGTTGGTGATTGCCCAGTTTTCTGATTTATCAAGGTCTCCCTGCAGGGCCTCCCCACCTTCAAGGGAATTAGCAGCTCCTCCCAGTTTTGCATCGTGTGTTTTCTTTCAATAGCTGAGTCTATGTCCATTATCTGTCTGAGTGGCATAAAAATTATGTGGTTCAGTTGTTCCTTACTTACTTGATTTATTTGATTTACTTGACAAATACTTTCCTAAAGCAGCATTCCATCATCAGTGCCACTCACTCAGGTGCCATTTTATCAGGAAATGTCACTATGAGAGGAAAGCATGAGACCCTCTCCTTCCACTGAGACACGAGTAAACCAGTGGATGAAAAAGCCTGGAAGAAAAAGTCTCTCAGCACCGCAGACTGCTTGGTATAGTTCAGCCTGTATTAAGCACTGTGATGGCTATATTCTGTTCTGGTTTTGACAGAATAAGCTGGACCTCTCTCACATGGAAGTCTGAGGCCAACCCTAATATTCTCCCTTTGGTATTTTTGGAATTCCTGTTTGTGTGTTATGGGGGAAAGTTCAGACAATTTTCCAGTAAGTTATTATTGCTCATCAGTTTTTATTCCTGATGAATGAGGATGCTTTAGACCATAAATCTTTGACTGGTCCAGGCTAAGTGTTGCCACTCCTGGGCTTCCAGCCAGCATAATTTTGTAGGGAGGAATTGCACAACTTGATGAGAAAGAAGTAAATAGTCCTGTGTTAGCAGCTATTTGAAATAGCAGCTGTTTGAGGCTCTGCAGCGATGGGGGATATTAGCAATATTACGGGGCCAACTGTAGGTGGTTACCATATGCACATATTGCCACACGCTGTGTCCTATTTATTTAATGTGAAACTTTTCATTTGCTGGTAAATGTGATGGTGATATTTATAGTGGTCACTGCTGAGGTGCCTGAACAGATTCTGGTAATCTGTCTCRGTTCAGTATGGATATGGAATGTGGATAAGGAGGAGATGAGTGCATGGCCTTTCATGTTTTGCACTCTTCAGGCAGCTGTGCCCCCTGTTCTTAAYACCAATGTAGAGAACTGAGTTAGTGCAGTTTGTCTGCATGGACCCACACACAGGTCTGGGCATGATGGGGATGGAGGGCAGGCTGAGGGTCCATGCCATGACCATGTGGATTCTCAAATAWCCACAAGAAAAGTGACTGAAAGGGGCACGGACGTGTATTTGCAGGTCTCATGTGGACAGCAAACATAGGGCTAGAGTAAAGCTGCTACGCACTGTCAATTCTGCACCTTCATTCTTATTTATGTCAAAGAAGCTAAAATAATATTAGTTGTTCATTTTTCCTTTTCCTCCCAGACCTATCTCCCTTGTTGCCATTTTGTCCCCAGGTCACTAATGCTGTGGGATATAGTGAGCTCTGATCCAGCAACTCTAAGGACCACTAGATCTAAAATCTCCTTCATTTAGAAGGCTTGGATCTGTCTTTTCCCAAGAAATTACGGGTTTTTTCCCTTAGCCTTGAGTAGATGTGTGATGAGATRTTGAAATGTAAACACCTCAATTGATAGAGAATATCCTACATTATTTTAAAGAGTATTTTAAAAATAATTGTTACAATTAATTTTTCTGTCGTTCTGGGGCTTTTACATGCTATTTCAGTTGTCTTCACCAGTGCAGAAATACAAAAAGCAAGCAATAACAAATTTTATAGGTGTTGAAAAGAGAAAAGAAAACAAGACAGTATTATATTTCCTCAAAAACATATTGCAACCAAAAAGTTTATTATATTAAAATTTTATTTTCTCTTTTGTTTTGAAATTCATACATTTCCCTTAGCAATTAATGCAATCTGACTAAGCAGATAATGTGCTGAGCATGTACAAGACATAAGAATATAAAACCAAGTTAAGTAAGGGATGATGATTTTCTAAGCTAAGTAAGGGATGATGATTTTCTAAGCTAATTTATTTTTACATCAAAATCAGTAGTGGTTTGGGTCACCCTAAATTCAGTTCTCTGACATTTCAAACTTGCAGAAATAGCCATTTTCTTTTTCTTTTTCTTTTTCTTTTTTATGAAATCAATACTCCTTTTAAAAATAGCCACATGTACTTGGACTTAATCTCCTGAATTATCCTTTGCTTGGGAGAGGCTACATGTTTTATTAAAACAGTGGCATTTTCCTAAAGCAAAGCATTTGCCCTAGCATCTGCTTAAAAGAATGATGAGAAAAATATACAAATTTAATAAGGACACAAACCTTTTTTTTTTTTTTTGGCGACATAAGGCAGCATGAAAACCTGGCCTTTCAGATCAGAATTTTTGGCCTCTGGATACTTGGACCATCTCCTCTTAGACCAGTTTGCAGCTGCCAGGCTAACCTGGCTCTTGCAGGAGTGCTGCCCGCTCTGTGCCTGCTGGTCAGCAGTGCATTCACCCTGGCTGCTCACCTGCCTGCACGGGCACCAGCCAAGCCCAAACGCTTTCCTGACCTGTCTGTGCAGCCATCTGGAAGGGGGCAGATGCCATTATGCAAAAGCACTTTGGTCGATGGCTTTAGGGGCATGAAAAGCTCCCAGCAGGAGCACAGACTGCGCCACGTGGTTGGTGAAGCATCTGTCCTTGAAGAAAGTGCTGCCTGTCTTGGGCAACAGGCATAGAATATGTCTGAAAAATGAAGAGGAATACAGTGCCTTGGGGTGGGATGGTGCAATGGCATTTTTTCAGCTGCTCCCACAGGGAGAGCAGCACCTTGAGAAACAGGGTTCCTGTTCCCTGTGCTTCTAGCCCTGCACAGAGGACAGCTCCTTCCCATCTCTTGGTGCTGTCTTGCATTGGAAAGCACTTCACAAAGGGAGGGATAAAAATCAATAAGGAAGGCGAAAAGTCAAAGCAAATGCAGTATGTGGGAGGAGAGATTGTCAGTTCCATGTCTTTAAGTAAATGCTGGGGGGAAAAAAGGTCTTTCCTGCATGACCCTGACAGATCTCTTGGAGCATAAGGTGGAGTGCTTAATTCTGTCTCCAGCCCTGCTCTCTCRCTGCCTTTCCTGTGGTACCTGTGGATATGTCTGCTAATGGTGGCAGTGATGACAGCTGTTAACTGGACAATGTTTTGACACTGCCAAATCCTTTCGTGCAGATCACGGTCTGCCTGGTGGTAAAGGGCAGTTGAAAAGCTCTGTGTAACACATTAACAAATTCTTTTGCTGTCCAGACCTCTGAAGTATTTTGAAAGCCTTGTTTGAAAGCTCAAGCTTTTCTGCTTTACAGCCCATTTTTCGTTTCTTGACTCATGGTAATGAATTAACTCAAAGTACAAGTTACACCCCAGGGAGATGGTCATGCAGGGTGTGACCTTTGTAGGAAAGAAGAGACTCCTTCCTGTGAAGCTCTCATGAATTTGGCTTTGGAGTATTTGCCAACCATTTACCCATCTCACTGGATTTGGGCCTGTCTTGTTATAGTGAGTAATCAGCTGTAAAGGCATTGATCTCAGTGGAATTATTAACTGATACTGCTGCAACAAAAACACCRTTTTGCCCTAAATGTTATGGAAAGATGACAACCAACAGACTGAGCAGATCTGTTTCTCAGTGATCTCCCAGGAAGGGGAGATACCCAATCTGTCCATGCTGCTTTGGGCCATCTGAGTTTCCCTTGAGAATTTCAATTTCTATTTAAGTTGCATTCAGTTTTTATTCATATTGGCTTAGAATATGTTTCATGTCTTTTTTAATCTCTTTTCCTGCAGTAATAGTAAAAATCTGTTTTTCTTCCCTAACTATGTGCAGGCTGGCATGGCTTTGACTTATGATCCAACAGCTGCTATACAGAATGGGTAAGGAATGCATGTTTTCCTATTTCTTTTTTGCAATTATTTTGAATGTCATCTTCTGTTTTCCCTTTCTGTGGTGAAACTTTTTGAAAAGCAAATCCATTCCGTCAAATTTTGTCTGAAACCTGTAATGCTATATTGTCAAGTTCTTCTTTTAGTTTTTCTTTTCTTTTTCTTTTTCTTTTTATGCCTTCTTGTTTGCAATATCTGTTTGAATGGGAAGTTGTTTTTCTTCATGGTTTCCATGTCTATTTGGCAAATGTTAGTAGATGTCTTTTTCATCTCTCTCTGTCATGAAGTGGAAACCAGTGAAGTTTCCTTTACTGACTTTGCTTTTGTTAAAATAATCACTGAAGAATCCAACATATTTTGTATAATAGAGCTATTACTTCATCTGGGGCTCTTTCTGCAGGCGTGCTGGCTTCCATGGCATTGTCTGAATAAAAATGCCAGTTAGGGAGAAAACTGTAAATTAGTGTGCAAGCAGATGGGATTTAGGGGTAACATTCTGAGCAACACTCTTCTTTATTGCTCAGCTACCATTTGCCAACACAAGGAATTTCATTTTTTTTTCTCAAATTGAGCAGTGAAATTACATCACTGTATTATTTACCTGCATTTCCAGTTATTTCATAAGCTAGAAAARAAGATACCCTTGAAATTTAGCTCTCTTTTCATCAAAATTAACAACAATTTGAAGAGAGGCAGGAAGTTCAGCCCTGARCTCTTTGACTAGAGAGATGTATGATAAGGTTATCAAATTCCATGCATACTCCAACCTGTGTTTTCCAGCTGAAGGGGAGAATATATTGATGTAGATAAGAATGGGTTCCTTWGTTAAGTATTTTTTAGGGCACTTCTAGTTGAAGCATCTAGGAAAAAAACCCTGACATTCCTAGTAGTTTAAAGAAAAAAAAAATCAATGGTGGTGGTCTATTTTCCTTAATTTCCCTTTCCAAGAGGTAATTTTGTAGGACTTGTGATATTCCTGTGTTGTGGAGGAAGAAGCCAAAGTCAGAAGACTAGAAAGTTTTTTTGTAGTTGCGATTTCAGAATCCTGAGCTTCTGTTTCTCTGTTCTGACCTCRAAGTGAGTCATTCTTCTCTGTTGTCATACTTTTCAGCTGGTAAAACATATAATCTATAAATAAAAACATCACAATTTCATAATCCGCCAGTGTTTCATGCAGACAACTAGTATTTTTTTCACATGAATTCCTGCATGTTGGTTGAGTGAATGTTTTGGAAACTGTAGTTTGAATTATTCTTTGAGGCTAATACAATTTTAATTCAAGAATAATTTTTTGAAGTTATGAATCTTACCTCAGAATCAGATATTATTTATATCAAAGAGTACCCATGATTTTCAGGTTGCTCAGATGGTTTGGTTACTCAATTGTTTTAATATGTGTCACAGATCACTGGGAAAAGAAATGGAGTATTTCAGCTCTGTAGTTTTTATTTTTGCAGCAAGAAATAAATTATAGCGCCAGATATGTTTCTAAGAGTGACAATTAATTACYACTTTGACATATGTCTTCTTTCTAGAGTGTCAAAATGTTTTCAGTTTTATCAGGACTAAACCATCATTCCAAATGCTTTTTTGGTAAGATCTTGATTTTGTGTAGTGTCATGAGGATCACCAGGACCCTTTTGGTTCCACGGGATTTTTTTTTATCTCCCCAGGCATTCACATGGTCGTATCTCCATATCCTGTGGTTTCAAGTTTTTCAAAAGACTCTTACTTGCAAGTACAGTAAAAATCTAGCTGATGAGTTTTATTTTAGTAAAGTCTGGGATCACCTTGATGCTTTTCTTGTGAAGTGTGTAAATGTGATGTGTTGCTCGCTGACGCAAGACACAGCCATCGGTGTGTGGCCATGGTGAAAGAAACTTTAAGGCTCCTAAGCTCTGTGAAGTAATACAGGAGCCTTGCCTGGCAGCAGATGAGTCCAGTAGTGTATCATAGCATCCCATAGCTGAGGTTGGCTCTGCTTGAGCCCATCCCCAGCAAGGACACCTCTATCCTCAGCTAACTCAGGAAAGGGGTGTCTTCCTCACAAGGCGGACAGTGTGGAAGTGAGTACAAAGCCAATGCTGCGCCCACACCCGCCCTGCGCGTCAAAGGGTGCAGAATGTTCTGACCATAACATGGGCCAGGCCACTAAGGTTTGCATGGAGCAATGTCACCCAAAAGTCTCTAAAGCAAAGACCTTTTTCTTGTTGAATTCCCATTCAGTCAGTTGGGGTAACCAGCATGGAGCTAAGTGAACTGATGCTGGGGATGGGAAAGTCAAGGTGATGACTCAGAAGAGTTACAAATTACCAACCAAATTTAAAAAGGAAGATTAACTGCATGTGGTGACATTTACTAGAGCTTCTTGAAGGGGTGGTAGATGCATCTGTGTTGCTAAGTCCACACAAGATTATGTGGAGGACAGTAGCCTATTGGAGAAATAGATCTCTGCAGGTGTCATGGGGTGGTATTTAAAATTCACAGCTCCTTAAGAGGTGTGGATTATATTAGGTTTTGAGTTGAGCCAAAAACAAAGMTCAGGGAAGAATCTGGGCTCTTGTTTCCAAATGAAAAGGTAGGTTCTTACTGTTCCTGGAGTCGTACTGTCACTTTTATTACCATATAACTGCATATTTGCCTTGAAAATCTATAGCAGGAATAAAACAAAAGAGAGTGTGAGAGAGACTTTCACTAAAAATKACTACAATTTTTTTCCCCACTAAGGAATAGATGATTTTCTTCTGAGTCTATTACATTGTAAAGCTTGATTCTCCATTTCATTATATTGTTTTTATGCCTATGTCACTCTGTCTAAGCATCCAGTGGAGTTACATCAGCATAAAACTGGTATAATGGAGTGGAGAATCCAGCCCAWAGTGTACCATAGCATTGCAGTGTGAGGTACTGAAGACAGGGTAAGCACACACTTCAGTAGGTAAGCTCTTTTCACTTGGCARCCTCTCTGTGCCTTTTTTTGTTTTATAATCAGCCTTTTCTCAATTGTGTTTACAAAGGTACTCAGGTTTTATTTTGGGGAGTAGTGTGCCTGTTGTAATATGCTACTGATTTTTCGATTTGTGGCATTAACATTGTTCTAGTAGTTTTATGCACTCATACAAACAACGGGATAGAGCTCTTGTACCTGCACTGTAAGGAAGCTCATTTAAAACGTTCCTGTGGCTGGAGCCCTCCTGGCCATTTGACTAAGATTGCAATGTACTGTATCAGTTTAGTATCTGATATCTGGGGGACTATTCTGTGCATTTGCTGGCCAATGGGCTCAGTATTCAGATAGGTCTTTTCCAACTCAAACATCTGACTGTGTGCCTTGTTGCAACAGAAAATTGCTGCCTTGATAATGCTTGGTAATGCTCTTACATTATGTGAGCCCCAGGATACTATTTATGAATCTAACTTTTTCAGTACTGCCCGCAGGCACGAGGCATGAGCAAATGGTGTTTATTGCAGTGCAAATAGGATCTTGCTCTTGTGCTGATTCTGTCTGGAAGCTTTGCATGTTCCCCAATAGAATGGGAACCATATGGATTTTTTTTCCGCTTTTTGGCAGGGAAATAGCAGCCAGACACTGCAGATAATGCAGTCCCCAATGTAGCAGGGGMGTATGTGCTTTGTCTGTTAAGCAACAGAAACTGTTGTTAATGCACTGCCTCTCTGTCCTGATGATGTACTGGAAATATGCTTCTTTTTAACATTGCTTAAAAGTGTGTTCTTTTGAACCCTTTTTAAACCCCTCTTCGGGAACTTCCAGGAGCATCTTTTTGCCTACTAGTGATGAGTTTTCCCCGTGCTTATGGAATCTGGGCATGCTGGAAAAGTCTATTTTTAATACAAGGATGACGTCCATTTGTCCTTGCCCTTGCCACCTGCATGCTCGTGCTTCTGGCATTGCAATTGCAGCTGAGGAGMAGGAACATTGTCTTACAGCTGCAAAAAGCTGCACGAACCAATGTGAGGATGCAAAGTGCATCTGCAGAAAATGCTGCTGAGCCTTTTGGAGAGCTCTCCTCAGAGCTCACAGGTCAACTMCCACAAAGCCTGTGCCTCTCAAAATACCTTGTGCTCAGTACTAGATACACTGTGCATTTTAATGCTGGGAAACTTGGAGGCATATTTTAATATATCTAAAATCAGTCAAAGCCAGTATTGTTCATATCTCTTTCCACTCCTCTTTCTGATATAGATGCTCTGATGACTGAGAGTCCTGTATTCCCTTGAATGAACTTACAACACGCATCTTCCACTTCATTTCACCTCCCCCTGAGCCTGAAGAAAAAAAAAAGAAAAAGAAGGCAAAGCCTGAAACTGAATMTAGCAAGGTCCTCAGCTGCAGATCTTATTGGTGTGCTGTAGAGTTTGCACCAGAACAGGCCACTCTTGCATTMTTGTTCTCCCTGTCTTTTATTAGATACCCAGGATATGACTTACACCAGTCATATATTAGGATATTAACTATTTGTATGTGAAGGGATTTTAGGGAGGTGCCTTGATGTCCCATGGGTGAGGGTATTGTTGAGCCCTCTTTGTCCATGAGCCTTTCCCTGGCAGCAAATGACTCCATCAGTGTGGTAGGTTGAGCATCCCATAGCTGAGGGTGGYTCTGCTTGAGTCCATGCCCARCAAGGACATTTCTCTTCGAACCACAGCTCTATACTTCACGTGCRGCAGACATTCACACCCTTTATTATTAGATCCTTTTGGCCTTAAGTGGCAGTGAGGAAAGAAGACAAGCCTTTGTCTCTTGGTGTAAGAGATCCCTGACTACAAAATGTTTTCTTTACAGCCTGTCGCAGTGTCTCAGTTTGTTACACTTGWTATTATTATTATTATTAAAATATATGGACTGAATTTTCTCACATTGTAATTTGTAGCATCAGTTTCTTCCTTTCTCTTCCTTGATGCCCTTGATGTGCACAAATTTTCCCAATACAGCTGAGAGTCCTGGTAGTATGTTTTATTTGATGCTTATTTGAGAGCATTCCAAAYGGCGACAGATAAACGGTATTGGCAGGGGTGTTGGAAGGGCTGCGTTTTCCACATTACCATAGTATATATTCTACAGGCTTATGTGCTATTCAGATAACTGCATCTCTAAGCTGAAACTGAAATGGCAAGCTGTCTGTCAAGTTCCTGGCTTAGCACACATTTTCTGTAAATTTGTTAGTATTTGCTGGGATTTATTGGAGAGTTTATTCCAAAGAGTCAGCACTASTTCCAAATGGAAAGTTGTTTCCTCGCTGTACTTGTCTATGTCCAAGCGGTTCATATTGGTTATGAGTATGAGCCTAGCATCAGGGCCAGGTTTGTGAACAGAATGAGAACAGAATGGACAAAAAATTGTGGTTTTCTCAATAATTTTGGTTCTATATTGTCTTTAAATTTAAGAGGTTTTTATGTATAAGTTGCACATTTTACCCATAGATTAAATTCTGTCAGTCTGCCATTGACTATTTTCATTTGCTGCACACAACATTTCTTAGTTGATCCACTTAGCAATAGGCCAAGTGATCTCTGTTTAACACTGACCTGGTAGAAGAMCCCTGTAGAAGGAGTTGGAGAACATGCTTCATGCTAGTGCCATAGATGAACTCAACTAGTGGTRTAAAAATCCTTTCTCCCACAATGTTGTGTGAACTTAATATTTGGTATAAGCATGGGGATACTAATGCCTCTAAGTTCTCATAAAAGGATATATATAAAACCGGGCAAAGGCACAATTTTAAAATAGCCTCTGTGTGAGCATTGTGAGGGCAAATAAATGGTCCCAAAATAGCATTTTATTTCTATTAAACAAAAAAAAATTCACTCAGATGCCACCTGCTGCTTTTGGCGTTTTAAAATCTGATTTGGAATAGAATGAACAAATGATTGCTTCTCTGCTTCCCTCTCCCCTCCTATCTTTGAATGTTTCCACCCAATGTTCAAAGACAGMAGCCTGTTTTTCCAAGGCTATTGGTTGAAGTCGGTGGTTATTTGAGCCTGCATCCAGAATGARTGCATCCAGTCTGAACTAGACTGATTAATACTAAATCTGTGATGCCAGAGCGATCAGGAAATAGAGCACTTGTTTAAACACCAGTAATGATTTTTTTTTTAATATTGTTTTTTGGTTGCATAGCTCTCATGGAAAGCTATTGTTGATTGCCTCAGAGTAGGGAGGAAAAAAATGTAAAAAGAGARGGAATGCAATCTACTTCACTGTGCAAAATCTTATGTTATTTATTGGTACATTCTATATGAGAAGGATCTACAGGAGGTTTAAATTGGACAAAAAGAATGCTGCACRTGAGTGTTTCTCTCTGGGTCCAAAATATCGACATTTGGACAACTGTAAGACCACAAATATTCTTTTTTTTAAGGAATTTTATTGTTCTGCCTTACAGTTAAAACTGAAAAAAGGGCAAATGCAAAAATCTTTACAAGCACACAGATATTAAGTACTAACACAATCCAGCAGTAGTGATATTTTCCAAGTGATAATTTTATCAATAATCATTAACCCACAGGGAAGGAGAAAGAGTATAACATTTATTACCATCAAGCAAGAGATAGTGCAGCTTCTGTTCATAGCATGCAACCGTGGAAATAAAACCAACTGAATCTGAGATTTTCAGTGCTGCCTGGGGCATTTAGCCTCATAATTCCTGATACATTTCACCAGGAAAAGGGGGTTTTGCTCTCTGCCTAGATGAATATAAAAATTTCAGCTGGAGTTTTTGTAGCCACCCCTTAATAAAATAATTCAGGCATGTATATAGAATGTGTTATTCTCAGCACTGAAGCACTAGGATATGAAAAGAAAACAGTACCCTGTGTAAAAATGAAATCGGTAATATTGTCTTCAATATCGCGTAAGAAATTTCCTTTCACTAGCTAGCACTCTGGAAAATCAGCTGTCTTTGCATTTCAGATAATTGCTTCTTGTATTGCAAAGTTCTGTATTTGTGCTAGTTGAAGTGAAAAAAAATATGCTTTGTGTAAATATTCCTCCTACTTTCCATTTTCAAGATCTGCTCAATGGAGCCATCGCATCTTTTTTATTGTGGTTTTGGAAATAGATGGACATAATTACCTGTGTAGACTCTTTCTGGTTTTGCCCAGGAGGTAGTGAATTATTTAGCCAGAGCCTAAGTAGTCAAAAGGTTCAAAAAAAAATCTCGCTTTTGTTCTTTGTTTGCAGATTTTATTCCTCACCGTACAGTATTCCAACAAACCGCATGATTCCACAGACATCAATCACGCCATTCATTGCTGCTTCCCCTGTCTCTACATATCAGGTACGTCAGATATGCACTTRTCTACTGTGTTTCCCAGTTAATTGTGTTTTGGATGTGGATGAAGGTYGAGTGTATACCACAGAAAATTGTGTGAGTGCTTGCACTCTTGAGTCACACTTAAAACAAAGGACTCTCTAGTAATATTCAGGTATCATTGGGTGGAGTTTTAGGTGTTTCCTGCATTCTTTACGGTAGTAACGAAAGCCACCATAACTCTTCATTTCAATCAGCTTCTCTGATAGACAACCTTTTGCTTAATTTCCAGGGGACAGCATCAGCAGCTTATTATTCTTACTGAATTGTTTCCTCATTTTGGCTCCCCTTCATTAGCCAAAATTTTTTTCAGTGTTTTTTTAATAATTTATGTTGACTGCTTTATACTTTGACCTTTTGACCTCAACTGTATTTTTTCCAGTAATTGCATCCTTTAAAAGTACTCATTTTTATCCAATAATCCCTGACAAAGCAAATTACTTGAGGATAAGTGTCCTCATATCCTTCTTTAGTCTGCTACATGCCATGTCGTTCAGAATTTCTCTTTTCAGCATATCCTTCTCAGATCTCCACTGGGAAATTATTTTCTTGTTTTGGCTTTCTGAGATGCAAGTCAAAACCAGATGGCTTATTTTTATTATTAGCCATTCTCTGGGAACGTATCTCTTCACAGAAGCTGGTCATTGGCCATACCTTTTCCAATTTTAGTTATTTCTGTCCTGTGCCATCAATGCTTTTCCAACCCTGAGTCTTATCTGAAATAAGTTTACAAAGTTGCATGGTGGGTTGTTCTCATTGGTAGAGTTGGTTTGTTTGTGGTGGGGGGTTGCAGATGGTGTGGTACTGCTTACAGGTATTTTGGAGGGATTACTGTGCTTTAAACTTGATCTTCAAAGAGAAATGATTCTTGTAACTCTCTTTGACTTTTGTTATTTAATTTTGGATGACTATGTAACATGTGCCAAACAAAAGTTGTTTGGATGAGGTAAATTCAGTAAATTTCAGTAACGRCAGCACCAAAGAAGAGTCAATGTCAGAGATACCTAAGTGCAGCTCACGCGAAATTTTCTCAGTAGCAAAGCTGGCTTAAGAGCCATACTACTTTCCTCTTATTCAGACCACTGAATTCAAGCCACCCAGCCACATACATTTCATCACCGCTCCACAGTTCACAGTTGCTCCCTTTTCCCTTTTGAACCATTGCATCAGTTTGTGATTTCATGTGTTTACACCAAAACTTTTTTTTTTTAAACCCTTACCATTTTCCTTAGATAGTTTGCAGTGTAAGCCCAAAAACATTTGACCTGTGAAGGAATGGTGAAGGAACTGCAGCGGTGCAAGAGTGGGAGCAATGAGCAGCAGCAAGCTATGGCAGCCYCAGCGTGTTTTAGCTCATGGGGATTCACAACAGAAAATGTTGTAGTAGAGGTGTGTTTGCACGTGGGTGTGCAGGTTTTGGTTCTAAAGATGTTTTGCTGAAATTGCTTTCTAACAAAAAACAGACGTTGATAAATGAAATGTTGAAGCACACAGAGTTATGCAGTTAATTCTCAATGCTTTGTTCATGAACAAGATCACAAGAATCTGGGGAAGTGGGACCTTGTAGCTTTCTCCTTGTTATCCCTGGTCATGCTCAGTCTCACGTCCTGCACACCCATTTCTGTGACAGCAAGTGGGGTGCCCTCTGATGGCTGTAGCACAGCTACGTTTTTTGGTACTTGTGTGCTGTGGTGCCCAGACTGATGCAAAAGGAAACTAAAATGCACAAATCTTGGGGCTGAGCCTGAATTATGATAGCCTGTGGGCCATTCACACGTAGCACAAGAGGGAGTTACGGCTCAGAGATGCCACCACAAATATGTAAACACTCTGTAATGTGTTTAATTCTTAGTAAAATTGTTATATCCTTGAAATATGTTACATGCCAGACATAAGACAGAACAAAAAAGAAAGATTTTGGTGTTGCACATGGAGTTCTCGTGGGAATAGACTGCAGGATGCTCAAGATATGACTGATCCTGAAGGGGCAGAGACTTCTTAAGCCAGCTTTGCCATTAAAGCTTTCAATAAGTTTCAAAAACTCTCAAAAATTAGATCTGCAGTCCTTACTGAAAACAGAATAAATCATTCTGGGATCTTTAAAAATGTTATACCTTTAGAAGTTCATACAGATACTTTTGAAARTAAACTTTTAACATTTTATGTCTCCTGCACTGTCGGTTGGATGACATGTTCATGATTACATTGATGGATGAAAGCAAACAATGCAAATGAAAAATAGGACAACATGGAATATTGAAGGCTGCTTTATGAGATAAAATGTGATTCATAGAAGCAGTGCAATCACTCAGACTTCTGACTTTGGTGGAAAACACAGTCAAATGAAATTTGAAAGCTTTTTCCTTTGTCAATAACTTTTCAAAGTGTAAATTAATATTGTGTTGAGTTATAAGACTTAAGTCTTTTGTCAAAATTAGCACCTTAGTTGTAGTAGAGAGAATATTTTCAAGTAMACCTTTAAGTTTTAAACTTTTCTATGCTAATTAAAAGTATTTGATGTGCAGGTCCAGAGTACTTCATGGATGCCTCATCCGCCATATGTTATGCAACCAACAGTAAGTGGATACTTGSTTATATCTGGCTAAAAGTGCTTACATTGTAGGCTTGCTCTGCTTGTCCAGCCACATTAAAGTCTTGGATCATGTAGGAGCAGCCAGCTGCTCCCTGTGACAGAGCCTCTGCCGTAAAGGTTCTGTTTCTTTAAGGAGCAAGGTTTGATTTAGTTGGAAGAGGAGGATGGGTGATGTTATCTAATTGCATTGATTGTAGGACARTAACAAGTTCTGAAGTGTTGCTTCTGGAGCTCTGCTTCAGGGACTGCAAGATAACTGCATACTTTGAATTACCAGGATCAACACAATGCCATTCCCTTATGTGCTAATCAATCAGAAATGTCCTGTGTAGTTTTGTATAAAGGATCCTCAGTGCCTCAGTAATGCATTTCAACATACTGGAAAAGGGTGAAGCACAACTATCTTAGAGAGTCTCAACCAAATCTAAATCTGCTTTATGATTTGACCCGACAACTTGGGTTTTTTTCCCCTTAGTAAATTTTCATCTTTATCAATTTATAACTACTCAAAGCGGCGTTGTGTTTCTAAGCAACATTCATTAGCAGTAGTGCAGCTGACTTTTTGTTTGCCTCAAAGAAGAGTTTTGATGCACTTTGCCTAAATATTAGCAATATTCCAGAAGAAAACACTGTACTGATTTCCCCTATATCCAGATCACTTTAGTTCCATTTCTACCTTTGATGAGTTTTGATGTGGTATGGATCCACTTAATAGTGTCATTAATCAAAATTTAAATGTATACCCCAGATAGTCATCAATACATTTATTTATACAAGAAGAATAAAATTAAAATGAAGGTCTATGGCTTAGGATTGTTTGTTATGCACTTTTTTGTCCAAATATTTTGACTTCACAGTAGAGTAACTTCTGRTGAGAGTTAGCTGTACAGCAATATGGATACAATATCCATTGGTGGCACTACATATCCATTTGGCAGCACGAGACTCTCATCCCTATTTGAAACCCCCTTCCACACCCCTCAGCTCTTTGGAGGCAAGTTCTTCAGTTTTCTTTCACTGGGCAGTAACCATAGTGTGAGATTACTGTCTCCTGGGCACCCAGTTCCTACTGCTGCACTTCTCTGCAGATCTTGGGGGAATTTTCCATCTCAGTAGAGTGAAGCTGTTTCTGTATTCCTTGTAAGGAAGTTAAATATATTGAAAAAAATCATAGTTAGCTCAGTGTTGTATTTTAATGTTTGAATTTAACAGCAGACCACAAGAAATCTTAGATGTGTGTATATGATGAGTGACCAGACTTGTGGAAGCCAGASAATCTCCAATCCTTGCAGAAAGACTCCCTTTCTGAAAGGAAAACCTAAGCACTTTACCAGTCCCAGATTTTGTGTATATGTGTGTTTGAGTTTTATTGACAATTTTTGACAATATTCAGAAAAGCATTTTTCTGTAGTACTAGAAGAGGTATTTTGATGTGGCAATTGAATGTATTTACTCCTTGGTAAGGACATGAAAATTGTCTTTTATACTCAGTGGTACCCTCAATATGCTGAGTTAAATTTGTGTTCATTGTCAACCAGGAACAAAAAAGGAATTGTGATTCTAGGTGGAAAAGCAGAGGGACAGTGGATAAGTGGTGCACCATTTCTATTCCAGTGTCATTGCTATTGTGGATTACTTCCATGTGTTTTCTGCAGCAATCCTAGTCTGTTCACTGAAAGATTTTTTTTTCCACATTTCCATAGATTATGTTCTTAAGTGAGAGGACATGAGGCATTTAATACTGAAGAGCTATAAAAGCAAAAAGGTGGAACTGCCATTCCCCAGGTTTCATTCAGAGAAGAATTCTTTATTAGAAATGTCTGAAAACTTGTCARAGTACTACTGCATAGAGAATTCAGGAGACTTCAGAATTAATGGTCTGTTTTGAAAGAAAATAAAGAATCTGTGTCTGTTTTAGGTTTCATGCCTAACTATAGACTCTATTCTAGRCACCTCAATAGCTTAAGAAAAAATGAAGAAAATATTACAATAAAGTTGGCAGAATTAAGGACATGAGTTTTGGTAACCCTGTGAGCTGATGAAACTGGGAACTTTCTAATTTGGTTAGCTTTTTGTTTCTTCTTGTAAACTAGTTTTCCATGTTATTATCTAAATTGCTGCCACTTTACTTGATAATATTTCATGAGATGATTGATTGTGGCATGTGATGTCCCGGTGGAAACCACTGCAGATAAATAYTACATTCCCCTTGCCCCAGGAAGGAGAACATTTTGTTAAGCCTCTATTATTCTTTGTGAGTGGGGATGAACTCATACAGAAAGCACAATTTGAATTGCTCAAACGTTAATTCTTTGTTTTGATTATAAGTATCCACTAAATCRTGTTACTGGATGATTAGCGTTTCATTTCCAACAGAAAGTCTTGCTTGATGTTTATGTATAATTTAACATCACATAGCATCCCTCATGACAAAAAGATAGGCAGCAGCGTGCTGTAGAGGAGACAAAGGAGGTTTTTCACTCAGCGTGCTGTGCACAGACAGGGCAGTGTTCTCCCAGACTGGCAAGCTTGCCGACAGGAGGGAAGAGCTGYGCTGCACAGAGCCACCATCCTGTGTCTGCCTGTCCCTCCTCTGCCTGCCCATCTCATCTCYTTTCCCACCTGCCTCCCCGTGCAGCAAATACAAAGAAATACAAAGCTCTTTCCTCAGCGATATCCCCTGCAGCAGGTTGGCCTGCCAGACATTTTGCTCCTTTATTTCCCTTCGTGTATCGATTTCAGGCACATTTTCCTGATGTGTGTGTATATGCATTCTGTATCCATTTACTTGGTGGATTAAATAGCCAACTGTAGTAAAAGATTGTATCTCSAATTCCTTCTGTAGCTTTTTAACTGCAACCAGATAAACCTCTGACCCTAACAAACAAAAATGGCATATTATATTAACTGGAAAACATTTGTGATTATTGCTGTCCATTCTCAGCCTTGTTTGTCTTTTTACTTCTGTGTTACCCCTAAAACCAGAAAACAACCAAAATTACATTTTCTAAGAAAATAATAATCAAAACATTTTTGTCCTAAAAGGAGAAAGTTGGATGAACAGTCAAGGACTCTGCAGGTATGGAACTGATATTKTAGGATGATGMTAATAATTTTTAATACAATTTTWAAAGGTGTTTTAATTTTGGTTATTAGTGATTTTTGCTGGTCCTACTCTGAGCCATGGAAAAATAATATCAAATAGGTTGAGGTACCATTGCTATTTTTGAATAAATAGTATTAAAAATAAATTTCTATGGGCATAATAGAGTCACATATGAAAGCTTCCCAAATCTTTATGCTTGCACAACCTTCAGGGTTTTGGAAAACAGGATTCCTGAATCATGTGAACAGGATGAAAAATTTACCTGGAGGCTCATGTGAGACACTTTTGAAAAATGCACCTTCTGTAAATTGAACCTTCATCACTTTTTCCCATATTGACCGTGCCGTGTCCCAGTAAGAACACCTAAAATTTTGCAGTTTCATTGCTTTGCCATGCGCCCTGGTCACTCTCCGTAGCTGTAATGGAAGACAAGCTCCAAAAGAGTTATAGCATTGTGAGTTTGGATTGAARCTGGCAAAACATTTAATGCAGTAATGGCAGTCTAGGCTCAGTTTAGTTAACTATATCTTTCGAAATATAGTGCTTATTCTTCCGTGTTTGAAACAAGTCTTGTATTTCATTACGGCCTCAGGATAAGGATAGATGGATTGTGATGACAGAATCAAAACATAAATGGGATAAGAGTTATTCTGGGGATTTATAACATTTGCCATATTATTGTGTTTTTCCTGTAGTCCCTGTAGGCTATTTGACAGTTCAGGGGATATTTTGAAAAATATGTTTACATATCAATTCACATGTAGACAGTCTCACTTTTACTGATGAGGACACTTGTTCAAAACATTTTGTTTCAAATCTTTATCACAAAAAATACTCTTCCTCTTGAAAGGCAATTTTTTTTTTTTAGTGAAACAACAGAAATGCACTACCCTAATACTCAGTATACACACTGGTTTTACACTTATCCTCTTTCATTTGCGAGTGAAACTGTGTGACTATAAGTAATCTCTGGGTCTGGAATAGTTTCTACATAATAGCTGGAGAAGGAGTTCGGCAGTGGCAGCATGAAGGTGCAAGCAGAGCAGCATATGGAAAAATCTACCATTGACAATGAATAAGTATGTTGGGGAGAACTTCTGGAAGTTTCTCAAGCCCTTACAGCCTTTCTAGAAAGGTCAATGCCTTAACAAACATGCTTATTAATTTTTTCTGTCGTCCTTATTGTAGCCCTGAATGTAATGGCTGAATGTAATCTGTCTGTCTTTAAAAGCATTGACAAAAACACGTCTTGTTTCATAAGCAGTGTAAAACCCCTACTCTGGTGAGAAGTGAGGCTGAGCAAGGACTCCAGATTCTTGCCTTTTGATTGTTGTGCATGAATGTAGCATAAAAGGTACAAATTGTTCGACTGAAATGGATCAGTTTTCATTTTCTCACTAGCGACTCTGCTGTTTTGGATAATACCCAAAATACCACAGCAGTTTCAGTGTTTTGATTCTTACGCTCTGGAACAAAGAAGTTCCTTGTGCTCCAGTCCATGTCCCTCTCCCAAGAAAACTTTCTCTACCTCACGTTTATTGCTCTACCTTTTTAGTAAACAGAGCCAGGAGTCTATCTTGAGTTTGCCTGTTTGAGTGTAAGAAAACAAAGTATGTCCTCTGCAGACAGTTGAGTCCTGCGTCCAGGRTGAAATGTGAGAATTCAGCTAGCTGGTATGAAAAGTAAACAGGAAATAATCCTTAGAAATTGGAATCTCCAGCAAGTCTTTCAACTTTTAGCTGTGTATTTTTAAGAGATCCTTTGAACATGAACTTATTTGAACTCTTAAGGCTAAAGTGTTTAGAGGTTGAAATAACTAACCAAATACCAATGACAAAGTTCTGCTGAGCAATTTTAATTCCAGTGTTTCCCGAGGC